TGTTGTCAGAATGTATTTCATACACATGCTGTTAATTGGACTGCTTATAATGGCTTTGCACTTGCAAACAAGTTTCAACATGAATTAAACACTTGTACCTATCCTCCCAAAAGCCTCAAGGGCTGCCTTCACAAGCTTTTCACCATCTTCCACGGAATCTGTAAGAAAAAAGTACAAATTCCCAAATAAAATTAACTGCACTTCCAGGACATTAACAACTGCTTTTGAGCTAAGAAAAATAAATTGTGTACAGCCCCAGTGAAAACTAAATTCAAATCCAGCCATTATCTGCATGTGGTCAGCAAATCCCACACAGCAAATCTAAATGGTACAACATGTGCCATTGCAAGAAAATCATGAAGCAAAGCAAGCAAGAACAATTCATTCCCATTTTGCCTCTGAAAATTGCAGATGGACAGCAGCTTAATACTTCAATTTTAAAAATCAGATAAAAGGGAAGGGTATTAGCAGACAAAACTTAATTAAAAGAGGCAATTAATGACCTGCCTCCAACACCTGTCTCTCCACTCCACATGATACCATGTTTGTTTAATGTATATCTTATTGGTAAGCTGGCAGTAGTCTTTCACTAAGCAGCATCAACTTTTCATTTAAGATGTCCATTGTTCCTACAGATAAAGCATTACACTCATCTGGAAATATAACATACCATAATTGGGTACTGCTCTCCCTCCTTTTGCTCTGATTTCATCGACAACTTTGTCAGCAGCTGAGGAGCTTTTGCCATATCCCTTAAAATCACCTCCAAGATCATTCACTGTGCATGACAAAGAAATGAAATTTTTGTTGTTAGCACTCAGACATCGTGGTCTATCTTTACCTCATCATCACACTGTGGGTTATAAGGAATATTAATAAAACCTGCTGCATCTGTATCTCGCTGAGAACCACAGATGACAAGAGAAAAAAAGTATGACATCTGACTTTTTTTAAAAGCAGTGCAACACACATTATCCCTTTTTCTTTAAATAACATGGAAAACAGAATCTTCTTCCCCCTTCCTCCACCATGTCAACTTGCTTGTTCTGCCCAGGATACCTTTGTAATTGTGTTGTATTTCAGAGATTAAAATCAAGATTACACCCCAATCATGGCAATTTATTCCAGTCTCTAACTATTGCATGAACCCTAAGCAAGACTGCCAAGACTTTGTTCCTGTTTAATAGAGTAGCCAAACTGTTACTAGTCAACACCACCACAGAAGAGATCCAACTGTCTGAACAAAATGAGAAGTGCCTGCTCTGGAGCTTCGGATCCTGCTCATGTGGGGTAAAAAGTCAACCTGACACACACAGGTGTTCCAGACTTCTCTCCACACTGGGGCACATGCCACTAATGGCAGCTGGAATGTACCATTGCCACACTCTGCTGCACTCCTGCACATCCCACAGCTTCACAGAATTACCAGGGTAACAAAAATACACCCAAAAAAATCCCATACAAATATTGTATTTGGACAAAGTAGTTCAAAAAATGACAAGCAGTTGTTTAAGCAGTTGTTTAAATGGTTCAAAATGGAATTGTAAGAAAGCCAGAATTGACTGAATTTACGTGCAACACTGGTATTCTGGTAAACTGTCTTTTGCTATGGTGAATTCCGGCCTTCTGCTGAACTTCTAACCTCAAGAAGCCAGACACAATGAAATCCACAAAACATGCACGTATTCTTGCTAATCTTGATGAAAAACAGCAATGCCAAGTCTGTTGTATCATGACAAAATGAAAGAGACCCATTTTGTGCCTTTTTTTTTTTAATTCTCCATGTAAATAGGAACATGGCTTGCAGGACACACCACAAAATCACTCTGTATTATCCAGATCAAGAAGTCTCATCCGGAAACCTATACTGAGCTTTGTGTGCAGCACTTCAAAAGAAATGTAAAAACATGGCAGAAAATGTGTGAGTAAATAAAAATGCCAAAGCTCAGAAGAAGTGAGTATCAAAAGGGAAGGGACATGTCAAAAAAACAGAAAAAAACAACTAACCATAAGAAACCAAACCAAATCCAAAAAATGCCCAGCCTGAAGCATGAAGTACAAGTACCTTAACAGACTGATGCAAAAAACAAAGGAGACAAAATCTCTAAGCTATCAATATCTAACAATCCAAACATGCAGCCAACACAAGTCAAGTGAAAAGCATTAAGGAAAATTCCTAAGTGTATAGTGATGTGTTAGGATAGGCAACACAGGCAGACTGCTCAGTCTGCAACATCTATTATATTAAAGAAAAGCAAATCAGGAACAACACCTGGGAAAGAAGAATGAGCAATTTGGGCGGTAAACATATATAAACCATCCAGTCCTGTTAAGACCTTACAACTCTTTACCACAGACAAGTATATATATGCTTATCCCATAGTTCAACAGTAATTTGCTGACAAAAAATTAAATATTTGGTAAAATTTTCAGAGGTGGCGAAGTACCTTAGGCTGAGCACAGGCACTAATGGAGTTGAAACAAAAATGAGTATGCAAGAAAGAGGTGAGCTATTCTAGGCTTAGAAAATAGTAATTCCATGAGTGTGATAGAGCAACGAAAAAAAAAAAAACCCTAACAACAAAACAGAGACAGAACATTATTTTAAGCCCAAGCTTTACATCATACAATTTTCAGTTGAAAACACGCAGTCAAAAAGAGCCTAAGATGGTGATGGTTGTGGCAGAGCAAAGTTATAGTCTGAACTCTGGTGAAGAATTCCTCTAAGGCTATGAGTGTGTCATAGCAGAGTAGCAGAAGCAAATCTGCTTCAGGGTGAAACAGGTGCAGAGCACCTGACATCTACAGTACAAGCCTTTTAAACAGTAAGCCAGCTGATTTCTTGTGGTATTCTGGTGTCACAAACCAAGCACATGTGAACAATGTAGGTCTGCTGACAGATTGTGTCCTCTAAGATTGTGTCTTCTAGTTTGTTTTTTAAAGGACTTATGCAATTCAATAGCATTTCACTATACAAAAAAAAAATACAATAAGATACATATCAGGAGAGATGCTTCAAAAGCATGGCTCTAAACTAAACTAAAACAGCAACACAAGAGCCATCAGACAGACCAGAAGAAACAGTAAGTCTAGAGATAACACAGGATGCAAGACAAAAGCAAATCATCCCTTCTTCCTGCTTTCAACTTTCTGCTGATGAGAGGCATGAAGGAGATAAAGAATAACAAAAAACAGTGGTAGCAGGCAGCCTTAGGGTGATGAGAACAGAGTTTTACACCTAGGTTGCTCTTGTCAATCTAACCACATCAAGAGCAACTCACTCAACAGATGGGGGACTGGACAAGGGTGTCATGTTGGGTTGTAAGTCTTCCAAACAACTCAAAATATCCCTCTAGAGTATTTGATTATGGTTCTTACAACATACCTTCATTTCCATAACTTATAAAAGCGAACTTGTTTTAAAGAGACAAGGCAGATACGAGCTCATATCTGCTTCAGTTTTTAAAAACTAAATGTTTATTCAAGTAGATTCTCAACTCTTTGAAGTCAGAATTGTAAAAGAACAATAGAAACAAATTAAAGCATGTAGAGGTAATACTGCAAGACAAGGTGAAGTGTGGTGAAGTTTCCAAAAGGAAACAAAAGTTGCCCTTACAGTAAATTCTTAACTTACTGTTTAGTTATTGCACAATAAGGCCAAGAAATAAAGAAGCATTAGCTGTGGTCAGGCAATAGAATAAGTTTTCTGATCATTCTGGGAAGTCAGACCATCACCATCTACAGGGAGCCAATAGAAAATATTAGGACTGCTTTAGTGACACAATTTTTGCTGAAGAAGAACTTGATGCAAATTATTTATGTCCATGATAAGTACAGCAAGTATCAAAGATGGAAATTAACAGAAAAAAAGAAGAAAAAACAACACAGATTTTTTTTAAGCTGTCAATACATACTCATTTTTAATCAATGAAGTAAAACTGAACAATTTTTATGAAATTTTGTAAACTGAGATTGGCATTGTCATTAGAAAACCACAAAAAAAAAGAAAAAACCAGTCAGCAAGGTCTTGTCTATAATCTCTTTGAGAATTTAATCCTGAACTCATCAAGAGTACCTGTACAAATTCATTTATAGGCAGCAAAACCACAAATCACAGAATCATTTAGGTTAGAAATCTCTTGTAAGTTTAAGTCCAATCATTAACCTAACACCACCAACTCCAGGAGTAAACCATGTCACTAAGTCCTACATCTATACATCTTTTAAATACTTCCAGGGTGGTCATTCAACCACTTCCTGGCCTGTTCCAGTGTCTCACAACCCTTGCAGTGAACAGATTTTTCCTAAGAGCCAATCTAAAAATGGCAATGCCAGTGAGTACCCAAAATACAACTTATCCTTCAGAATTGCCTTGTGATGCAACATTTTTCACGACGACATATGTCCTGCTAAGATTCAACCAAGGAACTATAAAACCACCAGAAATCCTTTACTGACAGCTAATTGGCACTGACACCAAGACTAGATGGCTCTTCTGTCCCAGAAGTTGCAGAAAGAAACAATGGTATTGAGCTACATTTCAGTAATTTCTTTCCTGGGAGAAGGCACTCTAAGACAAGATATTCACATATTCACATGCTCATATTAGAAGCTTCTGAGCAGAATTTACCTAAGACAACACACTCTTTGGCCACAGATTACAATAAGGACTTGTATGCATAGATTAAAATTAAATGTAGGAAATTATCTGACTCAAACTGGATTTTCAGCAAATGTAAGCCCTTGGACAAATTTGGGCAACTTATTTCATAAGAAAATAAGGCTTAGAAGCAAAATTAAACAGCAAAAGATAAGACAGAAAACCATTAAATAACAAAGGTTAGTGTCGAAAAGGGCATGGACTGTTGAATGCAAGCTATGGGAAAAGACAAAGGTTACTGTCTAGATTAAGTTAGTTAAGATAAAACTTACCAACTACTGAAGCTCCTCTTTCAGCAAAAGCCAGAGCATATGCTCTGCCCAAACCTAGTTTAAAAAAAATTAAAAGTTAAAAACAAGAGTGAATTTGTTTCCTGAAACACAATTCAGACAACAGCTACACAAAAATGAATTGCATTAAAAAAATGCACTAATTCAACACAAACACCTTGCAGGGTCAAAGTAAAACATTATTTCCCCCAGGAGCTCAAAATCTTTTATAACAACAAAATATAGAGTAAACAAACGGATAAATAGTAAGTAAAAGTTCCAGTCAAGAGAAAAAAAAGAACAAATAAACCATGCTTACTCTTTGTTATTGGATTCAACCACAGCATCAGGGAAAGCTGTATGTTGCTGAGTTTGTGCTTCTGATAGAAAAATACATTTGGAAGGAAGAACCTTTAATGTCCTAAGGTAACACTGAAGAAGGAGGGGATGTTTCAAGTTAATTAATTACGCACTAAGTGAATAAGATACTTTCCTAGTTAAAGCTAAGATCTGAAAAAGAAACTGCTCAAAATTTAACTGTGACTGAAGATATATCAACAAAATCATTTGGATACAAAGGAATGCCTAATACCTCAGTTAATCAAATAGGTATATAGTTTGCCAGTCCTAAGAGAAGACTGCATTACAAGCAAAAGCAAGGGTCTTGAACCTTCACTCTGGCTTAAGATTCTAGTTGTGTTTGACATTCATTCCAATAAATGATTTACAGATACACTATCCACTGTACTAATCAAAAGTTGTTGGGATTAATGGCACTGATCTTTTTCTTATTAATTTCAAAAAAAAGGAGATTTGAATGATCAAAAAATCATCAGTCAGAAGAACGTTTCTCAGAATACAAACAGTATCTCTTTGCACCTCACCTGGACATTCAAAGCCACTTCTCAAAAAAAAATGGGGAAACAAATAAGAACTGTATATACTATTTTGAAGCACACTAACCTCACAATAAAAATTCCAAAATTTCCTTAAGACTCCCTTAGGCCTCTGAAATGGAGAGTATTACATGTGAGGTGCATATACATCCATTTCCTCATGTAACCCAAGTCCAAGAAAACATTTTTTTCTTTTGTTATGAATAGCCACTGAGAAGTGCAAAAAACTCAGGCCGAGTTGCATGAGCTCACTTTCTCAACTGCTAAGCAAGGATTGGACGTCTGAGAATCAAAACTAATCTTAAAAAAACCAAGCTAAGTTGCATAAACAATGTCCAACACAGTAATTCACAGAGGATCTGCTCAAAGTGAAAAGAAACACTTTCCAGGTATCTGTGTATGTGAAAATACGTATAATTTTGACACAAATTAGTGATTCATATGTCTAAATAAATTCCCAGCTCTGATCTGTTCACCAGCATCCAAAAAAAAAAAAAGATCAATGCTGGAAAACAATGCTATTAGTAATGCAATCTAACTACAGAGCTGTAAATTAAATAAAAGCAAAATGAGAACTAATCTGTAGATAACAGATTCCCTTAATCTTGGCTTAAATTTAATCAACACTTACTAAAAAGTGGTTGTGAAGTAAAACATACACGAGGAATTTCTCTATTAAACATTTTAACCAATTAAACCACTTTCAAGCAGTCTAACCCTAGGAGTACAAGGGTCACTGCACACACACTTATGACATGCAACTTTTATTCAGTGCAATACCTTTTAGAAGCTTTGTTACTGCCACAGTGACCTTGTTTTGCTATGACACAATGTCTTAACCTGTTCTTCAGTGAAACACTATATAGGGAAAAGGCCACAAATATAGATCTGGTAAAAGCAGAAGAGCACCATTAAAAAACTTGGTCTCAATTATTATCAGGTTGGTCACTTTCAGGTGATGTACATAGACTGTTCAGTGCTTTCCAAAACATCTTCTTCACGAGACACCACTTAATATCGGGCCCCAAAATTACTCCTCTGGTTATGTGAATCACCACAAAATGAGAGCAAAACTCCACTGTGGAGAGGGCAGAACCTTTTCGGAGTATGGCTAAACAAGTTTCCTAAAGAGCTCACCACAGACACAAACTTTGCCTCTCACTCATCCACACTGACAGCCCATATTTTTGCTTAATCACCACAGTAGGCAAAGGTGAAAGCATGGACGCAGAGAAAGAAAAAAAAAAATCAAAGGGGGGAAGAAACAAACAACAAAAAAAACCCCAACCAATCAACCAACCCCACGCCACAGCAACACATACAACACATTTCCTGGCAAAACCAGGCATTCCACGGCAGACCACGCTCCCTGGAGAGGCCAAGCCTGCAGACCACCAAGAGCGCAGGCCAGCCCTGCTGCTGACAGAGATCGCTCCGCTCCGCGCCCCGCTGCAGGCCGGCTCCCGGGAGACACGGGCAGGGAAGGCAGCAGCAGGCTGCTGTGCGCCCTGCAGCACCGATGGCTGCAGCAGCACCGTGCCAAGCCACACAGGTCACAGGCCTCAGGCACCACGTCCAAGGCTCAGCTGGAAGGAATGGATACCAGGACAGCGCTTGGAGAAGGACATGCACTGCTGAGAGGGGCGCAGCGGCGCTGCTCCCCGCGTGTTTAAACAGCAGAAACCCGCACGTTCGCAGGCGTTCCCAGCGTGGGCAGCGCCGGGCCTGCCTCGGCCGGCAGCAGCTCCCGACGGCAGCAGGCGGCACGGCCCCGACCCGTGCACAGACTTGGCACGGACAGCACCCGCCCCGCAGCGCGCTCCTCTCCTCTGCGGAAACAGCCCGCCTGTCCCGCCAGCAGCCGGACCGGCCGCCCCCGGGGCGCCTGCCGGGGCCGCGCCAGCGGCGGCTCCGCGGAGCCCGCACAGCCCGCGCTTCCCCCGAGCAGCTCCGCCGCCCCCCGCAGGTGCGGAAAACCCGGCCGGTGCTCACCTCCTCCGGCGCCTGTCACCAGCACCACACGCCCGTCGAACCTCAGGCCCATGGCTGCCACCGCTCCGCTCCGCTCCGCCCGGCCCCGGCCCCGCCTCCGGCCCGCCCGCGGCAGGGACAGCAGGGAGGGGCGGGGTGCCCGCAGTGCGCATGCGCCAGGACCGCCGCCCGCTGGGAACTGTAGTGTGGGATGGGACGCGATGGGATGGGCAGAGGCAGGGGAAAGAAAGAGGATGGGGCGGGGAATGAAGGGGCGGGGAATGAAGGGACGGGAACGAGGGGATAGGAAGGAAGGCGGAAGGAGGCGGAGGAACGGTTCTGTAACAGAAGGAATGAGATATGATGGGAG